ACTGTATGTTTAATGTGAAGAATAGCATATTATAGTATATGATTTGTTTATCTGCCTACAAACTGATACTTTGGAATTAATATTCTTTATCTCTGTAAAAAGTATTTATGCAGATTCAAACCCACTTCATTATGTCATTTAACTATATATAAAAGAGTTTCATCCAGGGAATACAACACAATTTTTCATAGTCGTAAGAGCTCTTCATACAAAGTCTGGAGCCAAAGATTCATGACTTGACTTTAAAAAAAAATAAAATCTTTGCTTAGCCATTGCTTTTTAAATTCAAATTTTAAGAGGTCAGAAAGAATTATCCCATAATTTAAATATATTACAGTCCATGAAGCATCCCCAGAATAAAATAAAATAAAAAACAGGGTAGTCTTTTCACAGCTGATTTTTAAATTTGCAAGACAGAAAGTTTTCCCCTTTTTCTCATGCCACAATTCAGGAAGGGCTTTCCAATAGTCACTTCTGTGTCCTTTTGAGACTTTCTGTAATGTTAAAGCCCAGTCAGGGTGGCTGTGAATTCCTTTTTACTGAAGGTAAATTTCTATTTGAAAATCAGTTGGAATATAGTCCTCCGTTTGAAGCCATTGTCTATGTGAATACAACTCACATCTCACATTCACATTCTGGGTGAATGATAAAAATCCATGACAGAAAGCAAAAGTCATGAAATTACCCATCAACAGAGAATTTAGCAGGCAGAGAGCCATCTGCTGATAAAGTTGCCACAGATGATCATCGTACAATAATGTCATCCAAGACAGAAAGTGAAAGATCACCATATTCTTCTTACAAGCAAATGAATCCTGCAAATGAACTGATGTTTTAAGATAGTCTTTGGATGGTATGATTTGATTACTTCCTCGCCCAAACCACTGCCTTCTGATCCATACTGCCTAACCCTCCAAATCCTCATCTGTCACTTGACAGTCCTTGAATTCTAGAACCATGTTAGTAATTCAGCTTCAGCTTCATAAGTGTCCAGTATAAAACTCTGCTTTCAATTAATGCTCTTTGTCTTCAGTCCCTGTTTGTTCCTAGCCACTTAACTGCATAGGAGGGTTTCCCAGGATCTTTAATTACTTAAATTCTTTGAACATTTTTCACTTTCATTATATATTCAGACTGAGTTGCAAACATTAATACCAAGTTTGGAAGAAAAGGTTCCCCAAAACTTCATATAATCCTTGTTAAAAATTATTTGTATGTGAATTTATTGTTTGATACATTTTCCAGCACATTCATCCGATGAATATTTTTTGCCCACATCCTTTTCTAGTTAAGCTATAACTTGTTGAAATGCCTATGCTTCATTGCTTACAGTAGAAAGAGTCCTCCTAATAATCATCTGCATTAGATGTGCATTGTGGTATGTTTCAACTGAAATTGTATTGCCCAATCGTGTTACTGTGTAATACTTGTACATGGACTTCCTGTGCTTAAATAATTCGGTGTAGAGGTGGTTTGTATTTTTGTTTTGTTTCTGGTCAATTTATTCTGCCACTGCATTTCCTATGTTATCTAGATCAGCCTTTTCCAATATGGTATCTTGTAGATCTGTTCAATAACCACTTGAAGTCTTCCTAAGTATTTTACACTCAAAAATGCCGTGGTTTGAAAACTGCTCCAACAAATATAAACTATTTATTCTGCCACTGCATTTCCTATGTTATCTAGATCAGCCTTTTCCAATATGGTATCTTGTAGATCTGTTCAATAACCACTTGAAGTCTTCCTAAGTATTTTACACTCAAAAATGCCGTGGTTTGAAAACTGCTCCAACAAATATAAACTTTTGGGGAATTAAGCCTATCACAAAGGGTAGGGGGGATTTCAGAGGAGAGCTATCACTGCAGATTTCACAAGAATCATATAATTATGAAATCATACACATTGAAAACTGCTGCAGCAAGTAAATATACTATGGTGGAATCCTTGGTGTTCTCTGAGCTTGGTTGTTTTCTGGCAGATGTTTCATCACCCAACTGGGTAACAGCCTCAGTGCTAGAAGAGAATGGGGTTTGCTCTCTGTTTATATACAGTAGCTTGCCCTGTCAGTGTTGATGGGGGTGTTGTTTTTCTTCTGATACAGTAGTTCTTTGATTAGGCTGTTGTTTACTGCTTGTTTGTCTAGTGTTAATCCTGGTGTTAATCTCTGTTTATCTGGGTGTTGATTGCTGGTGAGAAGGTGTTCTGGTCTTTTTGTTTCCTTTTTTTAGGTTTTTATTGTCTCTTTTGAATGATGTGCAAATGTTGTTTATCTCTATATGCCTGATGATGGCTGACTTGTCTGAATATCAAGCTTCCAGGAATTCCCTCAAGTTTTTGGATTTAGCTTGGTCTAAGATGCTGACAGTTTCCCAATCTGTCCATGTGTTGTGAGATTAAGGAGTTTTCATTGTATCTTCTGACTGTTAGTTGGTGCGCTCTGCTAGTCTTCTGTCTGTCTGTCCTACTTAGTGGCTGTTGCAGTCCTTACACTGTATGTTGTAGATGACTCCTGGTTTTTTTTGGGGGGGGGCTACTGGGTCTTTTGGTTTGCTTAAGATGTTTTGGAGGGCTTTAGTTGGTTTGTGTGCTATGATGATGCCATGTGGTTATAAGAATCTGTTGGTTGTTTCTGAGATGTTTCTGATGTATGGCAGTGTCATCCTTTTTGTAGCTTATGTTGGTTGTGCTGTAGTAGTTTGAGTGGTTAGGTACTTTTTGATAAAGTTGCATGGGTATCCATTTTGTTGGAAGATGTTATATAGGTGGTCTTTTTTTTTTTTTTCTGCTGTTCTGGGTTGCTGCAATGTGTTTGTGTTTGCCTGAATAATGTTCTTACGCAGCTACTCTTGTGGGAGGTTGGGTTGTTACTTTGGTAATGGAGCCCTTGGTTAGTGTGGGTGGTTTTCGATAGACTTGTGTTTCCAATTTGCTGTCATTTCCTCTGCTGATGTGGATATCCAGGAAGGGTAGTGTGTTGTTGTTTTCTCCTTCCCTTGTGAATTTTATTCTTTTGAAGATGTTGATTGTTTCATGTGTCTTCTCTAGTTGTTCCTTTTTTATTATGATGGTGTCATCTACATGCCAGATCCACACTTTTGGTTGTATGTGTAGAGTGCTATAGTTTCTAGATATTGCATTACAATCTCTGCTATGAGTCCTGAGAGTGGTGATCCCATGGGTGTTCCTCTGAT